GAACCCGGGTTCAGCTGGGGACTCCCGAGCTGACTCTGGGTTCTGTGGAAATGCTGCGTGGAGCCTGAGGTCAGCTGGGAACTCCCTCTGGCCCCAGGCTCCATGTGGCATTTCAAAGTGGCAGTGCTGCATGGAGCTCGGGGTCAGCAGGGGACTCTGAGTCTCACGCTGACCCCAGGTTCCTTCCATGAGGGCGCTTCCACTTTGAAATGCACACGAGCTCCTGCTGGGCTCTTGTACATTTCAAAGGAAGAATGTGGAACTCCACCTGCACCCTGGGCTCTACGGGGGTGCTTCTGCTTTGAAATGTAGATTTCAAAGGCGGAATGTGGAAGTGACTATTGACTAGTCAAGTAGTTGATGGAAACTCCATCGACTACTCAGCTAGTAAATTGATCATTAGTTAATATCCTTAACCCAAACTCCCTCTCAGATCCCACATACCTGTCTCTTACCCCAAGCTCCCTTTTGCAACCAACATCCATCCCAGACCCCCACACCACTTCCAATAATATAATGGAAATGTGTGGCCCTCATCCACTTACCAAATTCTTGGAGTGGACCCCCATCAACATTTATTGCCCACACCCGTGTTAATGGCTAGTGGTCAGAAAGAAAAAGATTATTTTAACAGAATTTTTTTGAGTGTTGCAGATATCTAAAACTCGAATCTTAATGATTTTTTAAAAATCCTGTGTATCTAATTAATACATGGTAAACTGTAGTGCAGTAAGGTCAGATCTTTGCTATCTGTTAGAGTTCTGGCTTTTGAGAGTCAGAAGTAGCAAGTATTAGGTGTGATGCTAGCTGTTTTGTAGAATGAAACCTTATTTGCAAGATCTTTGAAACTTGCATCTGTCTGTTAGAAAGGATACATACTGGGTACTGTCCTGCTGCAGTGTCCCCATACTTAGGGGTCCTCCCTCTCAGGAAACCTCCATCCCCCTGTACACACCTTGCCTCAGAGACCCATTGCCAGTTATCATCAACACGGTGCCTGCGGGTGCCATTGCGCCAGCGGGGGCATTTGTGCGCGCCCGCCAAGTGCTCGGGGCTGGCCTGGTCCCAGGCACATGGTGCATGCATGGAGCCGGAGCCAGACACCTGCCCCAGGAGCACCGCAAATTGGCTGCTCGCGCCCCGGGCGTTACACACCTTGCCTCAGAGACCCATTGCCAGTTATCATCAACACGGTGCCTGCGGGTGCCATTGCGCCAGCGGGGGCATTTGTGCGCGCCCGCCAAGTGCTCGGGGCTGGCCTGGTCCCAGGCACATGGTGCATGCATGGAGCCGGAGCCAGACACCTGCCCCAGGAGCACCGCAAATTGGCTGCTCGCGCCCCGGGCGT